ATACCTCGTTTTTAGCGCGAGTTTAATTGCAGACAGTTCCATACCTCGTTTTTAGCGCGAGTTTAATAGTAGACAGTACCATACCTCGTTTTTAGCGCGAGTTTAATTGCAGTCAGTACCATACATCGTTTTAAGCGCGAGTTTAATGGTAGACAGTACCATACCTCGTTTTTAGCGCGAGTTTAATTGCAGACAGTTCCATACATCGTTTTTAGCGCGAGTTTAATTGCAGACAGTACCATACCTCGTTTTTAGCGCGATTTTAATAGTAGACAGTACCATACCTCGTTTTTAGCGCGAGTTTTAATTGCAGACAGTACCATACATCGTTTTAAGCGCGAGTTTAATGGTAGACAGTACCGAACCTCGTTGTTCGGGCGAATATTTTCGAGAGAGGGTATTTTACCAGAGAGACGCTTAAGTTCTTGGGACGTTTTTACCCCAAGATCGAGACGGCAACAAAAGATGACGCTCTATCATGCTATTTCCATGGCAACACAAAAGTGTGTCTATGAACATAGACAGCGTGAGAACATAATCAAATATCATTCCACAGGGTCTCAGTTGAAACGGGTATGTTATCATAGGATTCTAATGGAAACATAAGAGCTTACAAAACACGAGTGAGTTGGATTTTACGCCACTTTAAACAGTATTTCAGTTGTTTGAATCATGTCGGCTTAATATGGGAGGATAAGTGAATCGGGTATTACATGTACTTGTGCCTTTATTCAATTCATCGGGTCCTTGTGCGACCAAGGGACGCAACTCAATTAATTCCGGCGCCTAATGCCCTTTCCGTTCATAGTGTATTATTGACCCAGATGATCGCAATGGTATCGAAAGATGATCTTTCACAACATGATCCCAGACCCGTGAAGATCCGGGGTAGAATAGATCTTCAGCAACCCATGCTTGCCGTAAAATGCGACTATGCTTGTCGGTAGAGGCGACTAACGGGATCGGAAGGTCAGGCTCGCTGACTAGGTTGATGCATGTCATCCCATCCCAATTGCGTGGATCGATTCTCATGATGTCAATCACTGGACTGTCTGGTCCAGACTCGATTATTTACAGACCGCCGTCATATAGCTGGAATACTGCTGAATGCGGCGTAAACAACAAACAATGAAACATCTTGACAGAGAGAGGTATTGAATAACAGTAAAAATGATTTAAATACGTTTGGTCCCCAAGCGATCATACACGACTCTAAAGTGCATGGTCTATAGCAGTGGACACAACAAACACTTCATATAGTAGAGGGAATGAAGTGTGTTTGCTGTATTTGAGTAAAGTCTATACGTTTGATACTATTACCGACACGAAACAGGGATTTCGTTCTTGATCAGTTGTATTATTAAACAGAACAGTACTTATCTCCCTTGTTCCGATCCCCCAAACATCACATATGTACGATGTCAATAAGTTCATATTCTTTCTGCAGAACGTGTGTTATTAAGAAGTACACGTCTTTGTGAAACCCATCATCACTGGCCCCTACGCGAGGACCCTCGAACGAGGAGTGACTATACAGACTTGACAGAGCTGTACTAATACCGATTCGGAGCATGCAGTTTTTGCAGCAGTTATGCGAGGACATCACAACAGATGCTGTGGATGCACGGTTTACATAATCTTGATATGCTCCAGTTCAGGCCTCGGCAAAGCGCCTCCTGGACGTGGGAACCTGCGCACACAGGCTCCAACATAAATACTCTCGCCAGCGTAGCTATAGAAATCGAGCGATTATTACGTTTGAAGAGCTCGTATTTGCAGACACAAAAGCAGTACTCGTGTGATACACTGATAGCGCAGAGCAGGCATAATCAAAACTTAATTCTGCGTGTTCAGATATGTCACGTCGGCCACAGATGGCGCTTGGAGTAGAACTTGGGATTATTGAATAAATGACGGTTATTAAAATGTCGTGTCAAGGCAGGTTTGAACTTTGACGGTGCGATTTTTTTCTCATACCGTACACACCCACTTATAAACATATTTCACAAGATCTTCGGATACGTTTCAGCGGCGGTCGTTTGACATTTTCAATACAAAATACTTTTGGGATTCGGTTGATACAGCTCAGCATTAATTAGTTGGCTGGAGTTTTGCCGACCTTAACCCATATTTTGTAGACTTCTGAGAAGCTTCTAATTCTGTAAGATTATCCCTACAAAACCTTTCAACATGGAGTGAGTGAGTTGGGTTTAACGCCGCTTTTAACAGTATTCCAGTTACATCACGGTGTGTCAGCTTAATGTGGGAGGAAAGCCCGAAGTGATGCAGGTCTCAGACGTTTACCACTTCGGTGAAACCCACGTGCACGGGTATGGTGCTGACAAACCTAGAAACATATTCGGGGCAAACCGGGATTCGGAACCCACAATCATAGGTTTCTTGCGTGCCAAAGGGACGCAACTCTACACAGCGAATCGCGGCGCTTCAGACGACTGGGCCACCCGTGCCCCTAACTGCCATGACAGTTAACTCAATTTTTATCATTCTTCAACATATTTCCATGGTTGTCAACTCAAGGCACATCACTCGTTCGTCACCACTGCCATGGCCAACTCAATGGATATCACTCGTTCGTCACCATTGCCATGGTCAACTCAATGTATATCACTCGTTCGTCACCATTGCCATGGTCAACTCAATGGATATCACTTGTTCGTCACCATTGCCATGGTCAACTCAATGTATATCACTCGTTCGTCACCATTGCCATGGTCAACTCAATGTATATCACTCGTCCGTCACCATTGCCATGGTCAACTCAATGTATATCACTCGTTCGTCACCACTGCCATGGCCAACTCAATGTATATCACTCGTTCGTCACTATTGCCATGGTCAACTCAATGTATATCACTCGTTCGTCACCACTGCCATGGCCAACTCAATGGATATCACTCGTCCGTCACCATTGCCATGGCCAACTCAATGTATATCACTCGTTCGTCACCATTGCCATGGTCAACTCAATGTATATCACTCGTTCGTCACCACTGCCATGGCCAACTCAATGGATATCACTCGTCCGTCACCACTGCCATGGCCAACTCAATGTATATCACTCGTTCGTCACCACTGCCATGGCCAACTCAATGGATATCACTCGTTCGTCACCACTACCATGGCCAACTCAATGGATATCACTCGTCCGTCACCATTGCCATGGCCAACTCAATGGATATCACTCGTCCGTCACCATTGCCATGGCCAACTCAATGGATATCACTCGTCTATACACTCTTACATACCACTGTGCATGTAATCCCTCACCCAAAAAGAGGTGGTGGGATAGCCCAGTGGTTAAAGCCTTTGCTTGTCATATGGAAGACCCGGGTTCGATTGCCCACACGAGCACAATGTGTGAAGCTCATTTCTGGTGTTCCCCGCCGTGATATTGCTTAAAAGCAGCGTAAAACCAGTGACATCATCTCGCTCGCACAAAGAAGCACATTTATATATCTGAAATAAACTACAAACGCGCAACGCATCACAAACATAGTTTGGACATCATGTTGACGACGAAACGTACAACTACCACCAAAGCCATTACCGTCGAGTCAACAGTTCTTCCACAGCGCAAACATTGATTGAAGTAGCGATTTAATTTCGAAAACAACTCTCTTATACACAGCTGTCAAATTTTCGGTGCGGCCCTTTTCCCAAGAAGTTAATGACTTCAACATGTGGCTTTAATTTACTATTAGCGTCCTATCAATCTCTGTGATAAAACATGTCACTAACACCGATGTGTTCCCACTGAACCAGCCTGATGTTCAACCTGATGTTCAAAACGTCACTGGTGTTCACCCAGCACTCTCGGAAGGTTATTTATACCATAATCCACAAACATCTCTCAGCTGAGAACACATGACCTGACATCGGAAATATGCAACTTCACGTTCAACTGAAAGCAGTTCCAGTAACTGTCTGTACTTGCTAGACTCTACAGACAAAGGTTCTGTGAATAGTGCAACCCAGCTGGCTCCTGTCAAGATACATTTCACCATATCTTTTTCAATCCCGTACACGACCAAATATCACACGCTCCATTTTGGCCCACTCATTCATGGAGCGTGCATCTGACGCTGTAAATAGCAAACCATCAGCGGCGCAGCCTATGTTTTTATGAGTTTGAACCCAATGCCAGTTGTATGCTGCCGGCGTGTGAAGACGCCTGCTCTCCTCCTCGGCAACGCAGCCTGGGCGGTAGACGGTCGAGCCAGACAGTAACCCAGGGCTCGGTAAGCAGATATGTTTACATACTCACACACCAACTGAGCCATCAATGCTATGTATACATACATACATACATACATACACGTATAGGGGATGTGGCAACCCAATGCACACATACCAAGGGAGGTAACTCTAAATTGTAGTTCCGAGGCTGGTTGACTCCGTGAACCAGACAACTCTGACATAGGTGTTCAGCCAAGGACCTAACACTATATTAGGCCCGTGGTTTAAAATATAAAATTGTAAAAACATTTAAAAATAAATACACTCAAAACTCCATCAGTATTCTTGTTTTCCTTCCACTTGTGAAAAGATTGATTTCTTGAAAATATGCATACACAGATATTGTGCATGGGTAGGCAGAGTGAATGAGTGAGTTTGATTTTACGCCGCTTTTAGCAATATTCCAGCACATTCACACATTGCACCCATGTCGAGAATCGAACCCGGGTCTTACGATATGACAGCAAAGGCTTAACCACTGGGCTATCCCACCACCCCCTTCTGAGTGAGAGAATACATGCACACTGGTATGTAAGAGTGTATGGACTAGTGATATACCATTGAGTTGGCCATGGTAGTGGTGACAGACGAATGATGTACAGTGACACCAGAAATGGGCTTCACACATTGCAACCATGTCCGGAATCAAACCTGGGGCTTTGGCGTGATGAGTGAACGCTTTAAACACAAGGCCACCCGACTGCCCAAGGCAGGCAGAGAAAAAAAGTAAACAAAAATTCATGTGAACTCAATAAGGAGGAAGGCATTTCAATCAAACATTTGTGAAAGGAATGCTCTTGTATTCAATAACAAAGCTTGTATCAGTTCATGATTTCATTACATATATCAATGTCAATACAACTCAGTAGTATCTGGACTAAAATACAGTTTTTACAGCATGAAATTCTAAATACATAATGAAATAGAAGAAATGCAGATGTGAGTGAGTGAGTGAGTGAGTATGGTTTTACGCCGCTTTTAGCAATATTCCAGCAATATCGCAGCGGGGCACACCAGAAATGGGCTTCACACATTATAACCATGTCAGGAATACAACCCGGGTCTTTAGCGGGTCTAAACCTTGACAGATTACGCAGCCAGTATCTTACAGATCTCAACTTTCGGTCATAGGATGTAAAATATGCAATGATGCATAAATACATACATAACGCAACTATACGACATGTATTTTTTCATTTCAATTTCACAAACCCAGTAGATGGCTGAAAAACAACTGATACATATTCTGTTTTCACATCATCTGATATGTTTTAAACAACTTAAACATTTGACGAAAGTTAAATAGGGTCTCTGCTTCATAGCCTGGTGTCCAATGTCTGTCAAGGTCTATAGCATGGGCGGATAAATTACCACCAAAGACAATAAATAGATCTTAATTGTGCACCCCCCCTTTTCAAAAAAGCTGTATCCGCCCATGTATAGGTCTGTGATTCAATAATGTTCGTGCAATAGGTTGGGTGTACAGTTCACCCATACGTCAAATGTTGACAATCATATCCTGGTCACATATCAACAACAAATATTACATTGGAGACTAAATTATAATGCATCACAGCATTTTCTGTTTGGTATCATATTTCATATTTTCACCAAAAACGTGGACTTTGGATCAGAATCATCCAATTTATTAATTATGTCTGTATCACGATACGCCTCGTATCCTCACCTAACTATTATGGTACATATCATATAACTTTCTGTATCCTACCAGTCCTTGCTATTTGGGTAATAATTTACCGCTAGATTATTAAATATGCATATGAGATTGCATAGACATGAAATGAGTTTGAATGACTTGAATCAAACATGCAAGGAACGTCTCAACCTAGTCAAACACATACTTCAGGTTTGGTTATCCACGGGTTTGTATTTACGTGGAACAGTCTATACGATATGTGCGTTATCGAAACACCATCTCCCAATACACAAATTGTGTGCCTGCTGTGCTATGTTCCAGCAGACGTCATGGAGATACATGAGGGTCCTGATGGGGGCGGTCAGTACAGGTAGGAATATTTATACTTCAATACTTGTGTGCGAATGGGTTACAATCTTATTCAGTCTGTAACATTTATTCTTATTCTGCTTTCAATTTAACACAATGCGATCGATAATGAGTCTATATTCTTGTTGTTTCGACTTTTACAACTAAAACAAATTATTCATGTTGCACTAATCATTATTTCATCGTGGTTTTATGTTACGTTTTACAGTACTCAGATCAGTGTTATGCTTATACAGCATCTTAGTTGCTGTAGTCAGTATAACCCATCAACACCCTCAGACAGCCATCAGGCTGCGGTACAAAGTAGCGAGGTGAAGCCTGGATATGGAGTCTCCATGTTGTGTAATAATGTACAATGATGATGGCGGGCTCGGGGGGCTTCACTTGTAGGAGGGGGTCTTGGGGAACGTGCACCCGGACTGCTGTATAATGAACTGGCCCGCCCAGTGTGCACACCGCATACAGTCTTCCACCGACTTCCCCTGCACCAGCTGGGACAGGAACCCTGAAACATCAGAAAGAGGATACATGTTAGTTTCAAGAACAACATAATCAGTCTGGCACTGACCCTCTTCAACATAGCTGTAGAGTTTGAATTTGAATTTCACTAGGTGCATGTAAATACAATTCATAAGGTTATCACTGATAGATAATTTTTAATAATGATTTCAAAAAGTTGTCTTCCCAAAGCAAGGGAGATAACTGACTATAAAAGTCCAGTTTCCACCCTTGCCGAACTAGGCTGCAGTTGTGGAGTTTTGACTGGAATAACGAGTCAATGCACAGTCCAATAAAATTTGCTCAACAAACTCGACATCCGGATCATAACCAACAAGGATTTCAACGTGCAGATTTCAGTCGACTGCAGGATTTGCAAAAGATGTGTACCATCATCTTGGCGTCGACAGATATTTTCCAAATCTTTCCATGTTTTTAATCAAGGTGCTCATGTGATTTCATGCAGTTTGCGAGGTAAGTCACGTTTTATTACAATATATATCATGATCATCAATCAGATCATCTTCACTGGGTGCTGTCATTTTGTTTGAAGCAAATGTAAGTGATATGATAGGTGGAATCTCATTGGGCAATAGGAGAGCATCGAAGCAACATAACTCTTTTATAGTCAGTTACCTCCCTTGCCTTGGGAAGATGCAATTCTACTAATAACTTTCAATCTTGCAAAAAATTGTGGTCTTTGTCAAATAAACATTTTGATACCATATGTCAACGTAATATGTCATGTTGATGGCATAGATTCACCTCCAGCTTACATACTGCTCACCTCCAACGAATGCATCTCCAGCACCGTTTGTGTCGACTATTTTATCAGCAGGCACAATGGTGGCTTTAAACTCACTAATTGTTCCATCTGGAATAAACAGACATGTACAACTGTAACACAGCCTCAACAACAAACCCATGTGACAGTGTGCTTACAGAGCGGAAACAGTTGCCTCCCTTTGACAGGAAGTTTTCTCTTTTCAACAGATAAAATTCTTACAGAAAGATGTGTAATCTGTTATTAAAATTCATTACAATTAATATTAGTTGTTTTCTAACAAATTTACTCTAAATATCATGGGTTGAAATTTAAAAAACATTCAGAAAAATTGTAGTTTTGTGTAAACTTGAAATAGACAGCAGTCAGCTGATGTTTATAACAATGATGCCATCGATGAAGCTGCCCTCACTTACTCTGGGCGACTATAGCAGGTAGTTCTCCCTCTGTGATGATGACAGTCCGGGGCCGACTGCTCTCTTTTGGTAGACTGGCTATTTTCAGGGCAATTTCCTTATGATCCAGAGTCTGAAACCATCAGGAAATTGCTGCACCCAAACATAGTTAAGAACCAACTTTATTATAAATAATACACAGAAATTGATCTCTCATGGAGCAAACCATTTTAAGAGTTTAAGTATAAAGTTCATGTATTACGCGTGTTGAAATGATAGCACGGACAATTTCTTGGTACAGGGTACTAGGCAATAACTGGCCCTCAAGCTAATTACCTACATACGGAATCTTGACCTGTCAACAAACAGCTTTTTGTCCAAAGCCATTAATATTTCTCAAAGTTTCCATCTGAATATCCACATTGATTCTGTCAATACAGTCAGATTTTGCAAGTACTGAACTTTACCTCATTAAAAATTTTAAGCTTTGATATATGAATCAATAGATGCCCAAACTGCACTTCAAATATTGTTGCAATGGTGTTCATATCAATAGGTCTGACATTCTATCAGTATGTTTAAGGGAAACTGTTTCATGATTTCAGACATGAAAAATTCTAAATACATAGAGCTTGTAGTTTCATCTGAGATATTGAAAATGTAAAGTTTACAATACACAAGTAGACAAATAATGAATGAATGAAAACCAAAGATGTGCTGCTATGACATATGACCTTCTAAGTGTATTTGCAGGTTAGCCACAAAATCTAATGGCTACTTACGTCAAATTCATTTGCTTTGGCAAATTCTTCCACTTCCTGAAAAGTAAAACAGACAATTAGCAACTTGGCATGAATGATGCACTTCATGGCAATATAGTCCTTGTGTTATGCTACTTTATTGAAAAATGTAGTAGCTGAAAAGCATGGAGCAAGGGCCATAACTCTTCTAAAAATGCAATAAAGACACCAATTTGCAAACTCATTTAAGATCATGACCAGTAATATCAGTGTTTAAAATTTCATTTCTCTAAGTTAAATAGTTAGAAAATGTGTCCCCTTTGAGAAGCGGACGGACGGAGGAAAGACAGAAGGACTGAGGGACTAATGGACCAATGGACGACCTCCGCCCATATATCCCCCACCCCACTTCGTGGCAGGGGATTATCAACCCAAGTCAGTTTACAATTATATGGACGGGATCATTCCCTGTCAGAGTGTCCAGACTGACATATTTCTGGATGACTAGCAGATCATGACCATGGAGTATTGTCCATTTAGAGTATCCCGATAGGGGTGGTCAGCCAGCAAGACTTGGGGCCTTGTGTCAGTAGGAAGGAATAATTATACTAAGTTCGCCAGTAAATGTGATCAATAAAATCATATTTAGTCAATAAATGGTGGATCACAGCAACACTGATCTTTTTTTATTCTGCTTGTGTCTTTTTCATTCCGGTTTTACCAAATACGTCGACCCTACCACCACCTCAAGCTAAACAACAGCTTAGTGTAGAGACACAGTGCCACAAGTGTATGTCTATTTTCTGTCCCCTGTTGTAACAAATACAAGTAAATTCTTATTTTAAGCTAAGCAGTATTTCATTAAATTAAAGTCATTAACTTTCAAGTTTTATGCTCAGCGGTTATTTCAGTTTATGCTAGTTAGCAAGACCCATCAAGCTCATTATAACAGGTTTCCAGACTATCAGGGTTTCACTGTATAAGAATATCTGGGGAAACAGTATCATGAGACAGGATATATTATCAGTCAGATGCCACGATAACTTACATTTTCATTTCCGAAGACAAAGTCGACATAAGGCATAAGCTGCATCATGGGTTCCTTGAAGAACTGGCACAGGAATGGCGCCGACAGGTTCATGCAGAAGGTCTTCTGCTTTTCCAGGGAATGTCGAGCAATCTGCATCATGGCCTTGGGACACGCAGTCAGCGGGAAGCCCTGTAACACATCACAGACTACCAACTACCGGCCATATGCTGTATTGTGGGATATCGAAGCTTTAAGGCTTACATGTACTTTGCAGAACAATATAAAGGTGGTTGTATCAAGGCCAAACTGTAAGTTGTCCCTACAAAGTTACATTTACAGAACCTTTGGGAAACAGCAAATCTGTAACCTACTGATCATTTCCACTCATAGTGGATTCACAGCTGAAAACAGAAGATAACAGGTAGGGTCTAAGTTTTGCTGTTTTTCAAATAAAATTGCAGGTATTTTTGAGGCAGCTGTCATTATTCTAGAGCTCAACAATACTCCATCAGGACTTTATAGTCGGATGGGCTTGCACCAAAGTAGGGAAAACCAAGCTATTCAATAACCTGCTGAGAGTATAATGTTATATTAGCTTGCCCTATTGGTGGAAATAGAAAAAGTATCTCAAGTAGGGCTGTGATGGATCCCTGAAAGTTTGGTGCATTATGATAATCTGTGCTGTGGTATGAGCATCAGGTGAGGTGAGGTGAGGTGAGGTGAGGTGAGTTGAAATGGGGGTTTAACATCGCATCCAAGATTCAGGGATGAGAATAGATATTTTCCTTTTCAGCTGAAACATCTTTGCAATGGAGCATGGTCCATAATTTGGGGGGGTTTGGGGGGGAAGCCATAATATTTTAAGAAATTAGTGGTCACTAAAATTCGCTGATCCGCGGAGGATTCTCATCCTAGCAGATTATTGCACTTATATAGCGACATGCATGCACATGTGTGTGCCTGCTTGTACTAGTCCAGATTGATGCTGATTTACAGTGCTAGCCCACTGAGTTACCATGCCACAGTTTAACATGAATACCCCACTCAGACACAGTATACCGACTCCGAGCTGACCAGTCCTTGTTGTAGCCACTTAATAGTATCAGGAGGTAATGCATTGATACAATACAAGTATTATATTATACTTCTCTAAAGAGTGAGTGAGTGAGTTTGGTTTATCGCCGCTTTGAACAGTATTCCAGTCATTTCACTTCGTTTGAGTGGGGGTGGCCCAGTCATCTAAGGTGCCAAAATTTGTTGTGCAGAAACCTATTGTCATGGGTTTGAATCCCTGTTTAACCCAATTATGTTTCTAGGTTTGTAAACACCATGAAAGAATTGGATGTTCCTTATTTTTTTTTAGTAGTATAAAAGGTGACATGAAGAATAGTGTGGACATAACTGGTAAAATATTATTTTCTGTTTGTTAGTATTTTTACTTGCAAACAGTGGTCACTGCAACAAATTGACTGAGGTCTATTTAATAAGTGTTTTAGTTGAACTACTACTCACTTTGACGAGGGAAATGTCATCTTAACATGTCAGGTATTGTGTTTTCATGTATCATATCTTTCGTGACCTTAACTCTCACAACATGTATTGTATAGTGTATCATATCTTTCGTGACCTTAACTCTCACAACATGTATTGTATAGTGTATCATATCTTTCGTGACCTTAACTCTCACAACATGTATTGTATAGTGTATCATATCTTTCGTGACCTTACTCTTACAACATGTATTGTATAGTGTATCATATCTTTCGTGACCTTACTCTCACAACATGTATTGTATAGTGTATCATATCTTTCGTGACCTTACTCTCACAACATGTATTGTATAGTGTATCATATCTTTCGTGACCTTAACTCTCACAACATGTATTGTATAGTGTATCATATCTTTCGTGACCTTAACTCTCACAACATGTATTGTATAGTGTATCATATCTTTCGTGACCTTAACTCTCACAACATGTATTGTATAGTGTATCATATCTTTCGTGACCTTAACTCTCACAACATGTATTGTATAGTGTATCATATCTTTCGTGACCTTAACTCTCACAACATGTATTGTATAGTGTATCATATCTTTCGTGACCTTAACTCTCACAACATGTATTGTATAGTGTATCATATCTTTCGTGACCTTAACTCTCACAACATGTATTGTATAGTGTATCATATCTTTCGTGACCTTAACTCTCACAACATGTATTGTATAGTGTATCATATCTTTCGTGACCTTAACTCTCACAACATGTATTGTATAGTGTATCATATCTTTCGTGACCTTAACTCTCACAACATGTATTGTATAGTGTATCATATCTTTCGTGACCTTAACTCTCACAACATGTATTGTATAGTGTATCATATCTTTCGTGACCTTAACTCTCACATGTATTGTATAGTGTATCATATCTTTCGTGACCTTAACTCTCACATGTATTGTATAGTGTATCATATCTTTCGTGACCTTAACTCTCACAACATGTATTGTATAGTGTATCATATCTATTGCGACCTTACTCTCACAACATGTATTGTATAGTGTATCATATCTTTCGTGACCTTAACTCTCACAACATGTATTGTATAGTGTATCATATCTTTCGTGACCTTAACTCTCACAACATGTATTGTATAGTGTATCATATCTTTCGTGACCTTAACTCTCACAACATGTATTGTATAGTGTATCATATCTTTCGTGACCTTAACTCTCACAACATGTATTGTATAGTGTATCATATCTTTCGTGACCTTAACTCTCACAACATGTATTGTATAGTGTATCATATCTTTCGTGACCTTAACTCTCACAACATGTATTGTATAGTGTATCATATCTTTCGTGACCTTAACTCTCACAACATGTATTGTATAGTGTATCATATCTTTCGTGACCTTAACTCTCACATGTATTGTATAGTGTATCATATCTTTCGTGACCTTAACTCTCACAACATGTATTGTATAGTGTATCATATCTTTCGTGACCTTAACTCTCACAACATGTATTGTATAGTGTATCATATCTTTCGTGACCTTAACTCTCACAACATGTATTGTATAGTGTATCATATCTTTCGTGACCTTAACTCTCACATGTATTGTATAGTGTATCATATCTTTCGTGACCTTAACTCTCACATGTATTGTATAGTGTATCATATCTTTCGTGACCTTAACTCTCACAACATGTATTGTATAGTGTATCATATCTTTCGTGACCTTAACTCTCACAACATGTATTGTATAGTGTATCATATCTTTCGTGACCTTAACTCTCACATGTATTGTATAGTGTATCATATCTTTCGTGACCTTAACTCTCACATGTATTGTATAGTGTATCATATCTTTCGTGACCTTAACTCTCACAACATGTATTGTATAGTGTATCATATCTTTCGTGACCTTAACTCTCACAACATGTATTGTATAGTGTATCATATCTTTCGTGACCTTAACTCTCACATGTATTGTATAGTGTATCATATCTTTCGTGACCTTAACTCTCACATGTATTGTATAGTGTATCATATCTTTCGTGACCTTAACTCTCACAACATGTATTGTATAGTGTATCATATCTTTCGTGACCTTAACTCTCACAACATGTATTGTATAGTGTATCATATCTTTCGTGACCTTAACTCTCACAACATGTATTGTATAGTGTATCATATCTTTCGTGACCTTAACTCTCACAACATGTATTGTATAGTGTATCATATCTTTCGTGACCTTAACTCTCACAACATGTATTGTATAGTGTATCATATCTTTCGTGACCTTAACTCTCACAACATGTATTGTATAGTGTATCATATCTTTCGTGACCTTAACTCTCACAACATGTATTGTATAGTGTATCATATCTATTGCGACCTTACTCTCACAACATGTATTGTATAGTGTATCATATCTATTGCGACCTTACTCTCACAACATGTATTGTATAGTGTATCATATCTTTCGTGACCTTAACTCTCACAACATGTATTGTATAGTGTATCATATCTATTGCGACCTTACTCTCACAACATGTATTGTATAGTGTATCATATCTATTGCGACCTTACTCTCACAACATGTATTGTATAGTGTATCATATCTATTGCGACCTTACTCTCGCGACATGTATCGTATTGCGTATCATATCTATCGTTACCTTACTCTCGCGACATGTATCTAACACAATGAAGCATTACATAACAGTCCTCAGAAATGTTTTGAACCTTTGAAAGGGAAGTTACTTCTCCATGCACAAATTACCAGTTCAACCAACAATTGATCACCCTTATGTTTGGAATTTGAGAGCTTTAATACTGATTCTGTTCAAGATGTCAAAGAAGAATTCAGACAGGTTCCATTGTTTGCTACGAGCTTCACATCTGATTTGTTAACAGGTTAACTTCAGAATGTAAGGAGTTGACGTGAAGCGAGTACCCAGCATAGCGATGAGGTTGTTAGCCCACTGACAGTACAGGTACTTACCGCACAGTAGAAGAACTTGGCTTTCTCCACAAATGCCATATTTTCTACTTTATCAAGATGCTCTTCTGTGAAGCAGTTGGCTGCAGCTAGGTTAGCAACAAGAGATCTGAATTGCAAATATTCAAAATATTTAACAGGGCAAAATTCCAATTTCTTGGAACTCTTGTAAATCATATGTACACTGAAACACTTTGAAAACTCATAATCATTTTTTTTGTAATATTTGGAAAAATGGCCAAAAAATCAAATTAAATTGTTCTGTGTGTTTAGGCATGAGGTAATAAAACACAACAATGCCATTCATCGGTTAGAATCTCATTTAATGTGTTTTGAAATGACCTCAGTACAAAAATACATTATCATGATAATGTCTGAGGCTTGAAAACATGATTATGTGTTCCCATAGTGTGTCAGTATTGAATCAGGAAAAGGTCACACACCTAATGAACACCTAAATCTGGCTGCACACCCTCATGCCCCTCAACCCACCATGATGCCAACCACATCCCGCCCCTAGGCTTCACCACCCTCACCCCACCATCACGCCCCTTCCTACACCATTACACCCTCACCCCACCATCACACCCTCACGCCCTCTCACCCTACCATCGTGCCCCTTCCCCCACCCTCACGCCCCCTCCCCCACCATCACGGCTTCTCCCCCCCACCATCACGGCCCCTCACCCACCATCACGGCCCCTCACCCCACCATCATGCCCCCTCACCCCACCATCATGCCCTCTCACCCCATCATCATGCCCCTTCCCCCCCATCACGGCTTCTCCCCACACCATCATGCCCCCTCCCCACACCATCACGCCCCCTCCCAACACCATCACGCCCCCTCCCAACACCATCACGCCCCCTCCCCACACCATCATGCCCCCTCCCCTACCATCACAACCCCTCCCCCACCATCACGCCCCCTCCCCACACCATCACGCCCCTTCCCCACACCATCATGCCCCTCCCCCCACCATCATGCCCCCTCACCCAAACCATCACGCCCCCTCCCCACACCATCACGCCCCCTCCCCACACCATCATGCCCCCTCCCCACACCATCATGGCCCCTCCCCCCACCATCATGCCCCCTCACCCCACCATCATGCCCTCTCACCCCACCATCATGCCCCTTCCCCCACCATCACGGCTTCTCCCCACACCATCACGGCTTCTCCCCACACCAACACGGCTTCTCCCAACACCATCACACCCCCTCCCCCACCATCACACCCCCTCCCCACAACATCATGCCCCCTCCCCCCACCATCACGCTCCCTCCCCACACCATCACGCCCCCAACCCACACCATCACGCCCCCTCCCCCCACCATCATGCCCCCTCACCCCACCATCATGCCCTCTCACCCCACCATCATGCCCCTTCCCCCCGATCACGGCTTCTCCCCACACCATCACGCCCCCTCCCCACACCATCACGCCCCCTCCCCACACCATCACACCCCTTCCCCACACCATCACGCCCCCTCCCAACACCATCACGCCCCCTCCCCCACCATCACGCCCCCTCCCCACACCATCATGCCCCCTCCCCTACCATCACGACCCCTCCCCCACCATCACGCCCCCTCCCCACACCATCACGCCCCCTCCCCACACCATCATGCCCCTCCCCCCACCATCATGCCCCCTCTACCCACCATCATGCCCCCTCACCCCAACATCATGCCCTCTCACCCCACCATCATGCCCCTTCCCCCAGCATCACGGCTTCTCCCCACACCATCACGCCCCCCTCCCCACACCATCACGCCCCCTCCCCACACCATCATGCCCCCTCCCCTACCATCACGCCCCCTCCCCATACCATCACGCCCCCTCCCCACACCATCATGCCCCTCCCCCCACCATCATGCCCCCTCACCCCACCATCACACCCCCTCCCGACACCATCACACCCCCTCCCCACACCATCATGCCCCCTCAACCCAACATCATGCCCTCTCACCACACCATCATGCCCCTTCCCCCAGCATCACGGCTTCTCCCAACACCATCACACCCCCTCCCCAAAAATCATGCCCCCTCACCCCACCATCACGCCCCCTCCCCACACCATCACGCCCCCTCACCCAACCATCATGCCCTCTCACGCCACCATCATGCCCCTTCCCCACACCATCACGGCTTCTCCCCACACCATCACGGCTTCTCCCCACACCATCACGCCCCCTCCCCACACCATCACGCCCCCTCCCCACACCATCACGCCCCCTCCCCCCACCATCATGCCCCCTCAGCCCACCATCATGCCCCTTCCCCCACCATCACGGCTTCTCCCCACAGCATCACGCCCCCTCCCCACACCATCACGCCCCTTCCCCCACCATCAGAGCTTCTCCCCACACCATCACGCCCCTTCCCCCACCATCACGGCTTCTCCCCACACCATCATGCCTCCTCTCCCACCACCACGGCCCCTCCCCACACCACCACAGCCCCTCATCCCACCATCACTGCCCCTTCCCCAACCATCACTGCCCCTCCCCCCCCCCCACCATTATACAGCTTCACCCTATCATCACGCCCTCTCCCTCACAAACAAGCCTACTCAAGCCCATGAGCCTACCTGTCTTTGCCGGTACACACAACAGCACATGTTCCTGTGGGCTCCTTGTCTGTGTACTGGAAGCGTACATTAACCCCGGCCTCCTGGGCCTTCTGCTGCAGGATGTCCCCGTACTTGTCTTTACTGACGCAGCCGAAAAATGTGACTGAGTTGCGTGTGCCAAGTAGCCACTGATAACACAAACAATGAGAGGTTTGCAATTTGAATACAACCAAATATCATATGACACAGTATATACTGATAATCAATTTCTGCATAATCATGAAAAAATAAAGATATAGATGCAGAGTGTCACTATTATACTACTGTATTATATTGGTATTATAGTAGTATGTATAGTAGTGAGTGAGTGAGTTATTTTTTAACGTCACATGGGCAATATTTCAGCCATATCGTGACGAAGTATGTATAGTATATCATGTATAGTATATCATAGTAGTATGTATATACTACTCTTTAGAGACCCGTCATTAATTCTTGAGGGAGAGGAGGGGTGAAATTGGTCTCAGAACTATATCATATTTTGCTGGCCAAGACACACACGCTTCCCCCATCATTTTAAGTATCATTTTTTTAGTAGTATATATTATCATACCATTACGTCTTTCCAGTTATTTAGCATACAAGAATTCACAAGGTCACATCATATGTCGGAGTAATTTGAAAAATGAATTTCAATATGGCTGGTGTAGTGGTCATGTTTATGACCAGATAATAATTCTTTCAGTGTATTCTTATTTCAGTGTATTCAGACTTTCATATATCTTTGCTAGCACATTCTAGAGACACTATTGGGATAGTATTTCTAAAGAACATGTTGGACACTTAAGGGATTTATCTAGACCTGCTCAGAGGCCGACATTCATCCCCAAGTCTGCAGCAAATGTCAGTAAATATTCCCCAATTTGACTTTGACTAATGTTATGACTGTGTAGATGTGACTTGTATTTCAATGACCAATTTGAGTAAAACATATTTTCTTGTCCCCAGCTGTCTGCCAAGGGCACTTACTGGTACCAGTCGTTTGTAAACCTGGCAAAATCCCTTCTCTTTAGTCATGATCATCCAAAGTTGTCCAGAAGGTGTTAAACTTTTTAACAAAAGCAATATGGATATAATCTCAATTGAACCTTTGGTTCAAGAAGGGTTTTTAATAGTAGTTTTATAAGTGTTAGTATTGCTGTATTTACTGTTATGTAGGTTCCACATACCTGAGCTACACGCAGGGCGTTGAGAGTGGCGCCACCTGGGACAAAGTCTACCTGATCCTTGAAGGTAGCCAACATGTCATCGTATCTATGGGAGAAACCATCTCTGTTACAGAAGCAAGCAAACAAGCACCTCTTTGATTACACAATGACTTCACCTCTGTTTGACTCCTTTTATGCCAAACTTCATACTCCCAAATGTTTGTAAATTAAACCATTTTAGGGTGATTTTAATAGTGATGGAACTTGAATCCCGTGTACCCTCAACATTTGTAGTCTGTGTTACCACACTTTTTTTGTTTTTTGTTTTTTTGCTTTGTTTGTTGTTTAATGCTGCACTCAGCAATATTCCAGCTATATGACAGCGGTCTGTAAATAATCGAATCTGGACCAGACAATCAAGTAATTGACATCATGAGCATCGATCCATGCAAGTAGGATACAATGACATGCATCAACCAAGTCAACGAGCCTGACCACCCAATCCCGTTAACAGCCTTTTAGTGCAAGCATGGGTTGCTGAAGACCAATTCTAGCCTGGATCTTCACTGGACAACCTGGATCACCTGGGGCAGTCGGGTAGCCTCGTGGTTAAAGCGTTCGCTCATCACTCTGAAGACCCTGACATGTGTACAATGTGTGCAGTGTCCAACCCAGACCGTGCGATTGCGCGATTCACGCTAAAAAAAATCAAATCGCCCCTCATAAAAAACTCAAAGCGCGATCTGTCGCGCACTGTAATTTCTTGAACAGTCACTTACTTTATCAGCTGTTTATCCCTACCTTTAGATTCAATACTCACTAAATCTTTAATCAATTAACGAAGAAAGACAGTTCACAGCAAACATTGTAAACAACTGTCGAAGACCGATCGATAATAACCGGAAGTTCGAACACGAGTTACTTCCCTTGGGTTGTGGAATAAATTATCGACAGGATTTGCATGGGAAACAAAATTTAACTTACTTTAGTAGAAAGCGTATCAAAACTTTCTTCAAAATTATGTTGTATTTTGTTGTTTAGTAATCAAAAACCTTTGACAAGATGTTAAAAGACAATAAATATTCTTTCTTGAATAGTTCTGAAAATATTTTTGAGCATTTTAGTTTGTTTTAGTTTTGTTTCTGAAATCACACAATATGAATCGCCGACTGTCATTGCAGACGATTTTTTGAATAGTGAAAATGTCGCACAAAAACAAAAAATTACAGACTTTTTTAATCAAAATAGATGTTCTAAAAAAGACAATGATGAAACCACAGTCACTGTAATTACTTCTCTAACTGAAGGGGAAATCGATCCCGGGCCTAGTGACTAAAAAAAAAGCAGTTCTTTATTCTGATCTGTTACACTTTTATATGATGATGTTCCAGTACATAATACAAAATGAGACATTTTTGAAGAAAGCAGTTATCCCCCCTACTTTTTCAAAATCCCCCCTATTTTGTACATGATGGGGGGACAAGTCCCCCCTTGATTTTCAATTCTGGGTTGGACACTGTGTGTGAAGCCCATTTCTGGTGTCCCCCATCGTGATATTGCTGGAATATTGCTAAAAGCGGCGTAAAAACAAACTCCCTCACTGTAATCACCAAGGTAACGACACTGAGATAGATACTCACATGGGCTTGTGCTTGTCATCGGCCAGGATTGCATTGTTGGCCTCAAGGTCATATCTAGGAACAATCATCACATAGTAATACATTCACACTGGATGTTTCCAAAACAATGAATACCATTTGTCACACATCTGTTTAACATGGTAACTGTGGCAGTGAAAATAACTATGATTCTAAAGGTTCTCCTGAACTTCAGACATACAGAAAGTCATTACTAATGTGATATCGCTTGGTAGGAGGGGCTCACAAGGACATTTATGAAAAAATAACACTAAAAAAATTAGATACTCACTTTTTAAGGAATTCCTCTGTGGCATTGACAGAGATATCCAGGAGAGGGTTGCCGTAGCCAAGGAGAACGCCTTCACTGTAACAAGAGGCATGGTGTCACCTTACAAACTAACTTTACAAACACTAAATCTGCTCCATGGTAAATGTCCATATTTACTTCTTGTATTGCTGAGCATATAATAGTCTGACTATCCCACTCAGTGTTAGTCCATATCTGCAAGCAGAGCTACAGATAAGCAGCGTATTTGCGTAAAATACCTCCCAAAAGTATTCAAAACCCAATTACTTTCAAATAACTTGTGTACAGAAATGCATGCTTTTAATGAAAAACTCAAATGATAAAAACAGCACACGTAAATAGCCAATGAAACTTTTTCAGCATGCGTACAAAGGAGCTAATTTCTGAAACACAATAACAAGATAATTTACTTTCCGAGGCAAGCCTATATTTAGAACAGTTATATACATCTAAAACATTATTGCACTTTTTAGAAATCTTAAAATGTTCATTCTTTTAGGGAAAACCCAAATAGTGATGAATAGATATAAATAAAATAAATACACGGATAGCTTTGCTCATAATATCAACCACTGGTTTGTCAGGCCTTCCAGACTCAATTATTTACATGCCTCCGTCACATGGCTGGAGTAATGTAGACTGTGACCATAAAACAAACAAATAAATATACTGCTCAGGTTATGACAGATTAACTTTAGTCATACGAAAACAATTGGGAGTTCTCTAACTTCCTTCGTGAGGTGAAATGGGGTTTAACGTTGCGTCCAAGATTATTGCACTTATATAGCAATGTGCATGCATGCGTGTGTGTGCGTGTGTGTGTGTGTGTGTGTGTGTGTGTGTGTGTGTGTGTGTGTGTGTGTGTGTGTGTGTGTGTGTGTGTGTGTGTGTGTGTGTGTGTGTGTGTGTGTGTGTGTGTGTGTGTGTGTGTGTGTGTGTGTGTGTGTGCTAGTCCGGACTGATGCTGATTTATAGTGCTAGCTCACTGAGATACCATGCTGCAGTTTAACATGAATACCTGCCAAGGACACTAAGCTTTGAATCCTACATAAATCCCTGGTATCTATAACTGCATCCCTTATTCCATATATAACCCAATTCTTCATATTCGACAAACATACCATACCGTCCTCAACTTCAAAAGGAAACCAAACAGAATTGTAACGTGACTAATCACAATCAGGTCAAACTAGCTGCAAGTGGAGAAATGCCTGTTTACTCAGTAAACAGATACCAAAGATGTGGTGGACTGCCGAGTTTGCTAGGAATTTGGTCTTAAATGTATGTAAGTCCTTAAAATAATATGTAAGTCCTTAAAATAATAAATAATCCATGAACATATTGATTGTTGGGATTCTGTCTTCAGTGGAGGAATGAACTCTTTAGTTATCTGAGGAAATTTGAAAGCGTGACACTGTTCTTTATAATCAGGACAGTTGATCCTACAAACAGCCTCATCAAGATGGTCCAATGAGTCCCCAATCAAACTTGCTAGAACTGCAACGTGACACACGTAGCTAGATCTAGCACGGTGACAAGCCCTGTAAGGATATTTAAAATTCTGTTTTGAGTGCATGTGTTTGTAAGCGTCAATTCTAACGACCAAATTTAGACGTCATGTTTTTCAGTACAGAAAACAACCATTTACCTAGTCATAGCTGTAGTGTGTGAGGCAGATCATCTTGTGCTGATCGTATATATACACGTAGACATACCTATGGGCCATGCTATTTCTTATTGAGGGGTTTTACGAGAATAGATATCAATCGAACATTTTCAAAGAAGAAAAATGATTTTTACAATGACCCTAGGACACAACGGATATTTATGAGCAGACCATTTCAAAACTATTGCCGAATATATCTAACGTGACTAAGCTTATCCATGGCGGTATCAGGAATTGACAACACCCACAGGTAATAATGGGACCGTTGGAATTAGCCAATGAAAATACAACATTTTCAACATGCGTGAGCCACTTTCGGCAGGGAAAGGAAAGGATGTGCACCTCCGTGAAAAAACACCAATGTTTCAATTATTGACAAAGGCGGAGTTAATAGTTTGAAAATAACTATGTTAACTGACAAATATTAATCTGAACTATGTAATTTTGTTTATAAACAAAATGTCTAGGTTGAGACACATATTGTAAGCACTGCACGGAGCCGGGCCGAAATATTTTAATTTGTCGTCAAGTTGAGCCACAGTTATACAACCACAAGTGCAACCACATGACTATATTATTAAACTCACATGTTTGTTGAAATTGTTTTCTGCTTCTTGACATCAGAAGGAGTTTCTTTTCCTTCCGTTTCGTCGATTCCGCGCTTATTCTCCATTTTGTCAACCGGTGAATACCTTACGTAGTGCCCTCTACAATACATGATATTCGATCCTACCTAATTTTGAGGTTTCCAAAACTATAAATAGACTTGGGTATGGGCAAGGTGAAGAATACAATGCAGACATAATTTCATAAATTGAATGTCTCAAATATGTGTTTATTCTGACACACCGTTGAATCATTTCTGTTTTTCGTAATGACCGAATTACACACTCACCGGAACGTGAGCCATATTCAGCCATTCAGATAAACCGGAGGATCAAGTTGAAAATACATTGAGAATATTCCGAATGTCAGTCTAAGGGAAGTCACTCTAAATAAGTGCCACTTCGGATGATATTTCCAAAGCAATTTCAATCATACAAGATCGAATCCAGTGTAAAGTATTGTGGAAAAAGTGATCGAAGTTTGTGTCTGGTTTTCAAATATAAAGAGAGAACTGGTTTTCCAAATACTGTTCGACAGTCATTCGAACGTGATAGGACGTGTTAGTTCGTTGTGTAGTGAGTGAGTATGGTTTTACGCCGCTTTTAGCAATATTCCCGCAATATCACGGCGGGGGACACCAGAAATGGGCTTCACACATTGTACCCATGTCGGGAATCGAACCCGGGTCTTCGGCGTGACGAGCGAACGCTTTAACCACTAGGCTTCCCGACCGCCTAGTTCGTTGTGTAAGAATGTACTCTGAGATAATATTCCGTGACGAATGCACAGTTTTGTTGGAAATGGAATCCATATATTTACGTGTTTGTATCTGCGCGAGTTGTTGCTTGGGATAACCTTGTGTAAGAAGTGCTGGATGAATGAACAAATGTGTGTTTCTACATGTACAATGATGATCTTGAGCGATTGCCCCAAAGGGAGCTGAATTGACGGGAACTGTCATAACATAAAAGACGGCTTGAATAATATCATGTAATATGTATTTATCGTGTAAAATACATGTCAGATTACAAATGTTGTACTTTGTTTAAGTGTTGATAGATTTGATGGAGTCATTACTCTGCAGAATGTTGAAATATTTGGCCATTCGTAATATTTAGATGGAAGAGAGAGAAATATGTGTGACTTGGAGCCTCGAATCGAAACAGATAATGAAATTCGTTTCCGACACCTGTAAAATTTCAACGCGACATTTTTTGTGCAGGTGGAACTTGGTAGTCCCTTTATCAAGTGATCAACAGCTGAGAAAGACCTGGTTATATAGCTAAGATTATTAAAAAAAAACACCAAAAACAACGAATTGTGTAACAATTGAAGGTGAGGTGAAATTGGGTTTAACGTCGCGTCCAAGATTATTGCACTTATATAGCGACGTGCATGCATATGTGTGTGTGTGTGTGTGTGTGTGTGTGTGTGGCTGCTTGTACTAGTCAGGACTGATGCCGATTTATAGTGCTAGCCCACTGAGATACAATGCCGCAGTTTAGCATGAATACCCCACTCAGACACAGTATACTGACTCCGAGCCGACCAGTCCTTGTTTTAGCCCCTTAATGCCGAGCGCCAGACAGGGTAACAACAAGTACCATCTTTTAACGTGTTTTGGTATGACGCGGCCGGGGATCGAACCCCGGACCTTCCGTTCGTCGGGCGGGTGTAACAATTGAAGACGGGGTGAACCTTTGGGACGAAGCCTACACAGCAATGTGTTATAATGCTACTGATACCACGAGATCCTCTTGCGTGTCTGTTTTCAGAACAAATCGAATTCTCGATTTGTTGTTCAAAATAATCCAGGATAGTTCGTACTTGGACGTGATTGAAGGATAAAACGAATTTATTTCGTGGATAAATTGTATTAATTTGTCCCCAATGAGCTCCCATAACATACAAATACCACCATTACATCTGCCTTACAATAATATGTTTGTGAGAGAAACTTGGTGTCGAAATACAACACAAGTTTGGCGAGCATGAACTCAGTCAATCTATTGTTGTAACGACGTCACATAAATAATTTCCGACGTCATAAACACTGAATAACGCCATCTTCAATTATTTGCGACAATGCGTTCATATGACGACACGTTGCTGATGACGTATCCGCAAACAATGAAAACCACAGAACAAACCCACCACATATATATACATGAGGTAACTACGCAGAGTGATGTTGTACTACCTATATTCATAGGTTTTGTTCGCAACTCAAAAGTAATTGGGTAATGGTGAAATTTTGTGCGTATTTATCTGGAGCTCTCCTTACTTGCTAAATGCTCTACTTTGGGACGCGAATAACACATGGTAACATAACACATATACTTTTAATATAGGCATGATATTCATACATATGTTTTTTAAAGCTGGACAGATAGGAAACACATGTCACTGTGGATGGGATGACAGTCGATGATTCAGCAGGTGCGAGGAACAGTCTTCTCACATCTATCTCGTTGAGCTCCAACTCGGCCTTTGTTTGTTTGTTTGTTTAACGCCGCACTCAGCAATATTCCAGCTATATGACGGCGGTCTGTAAATAATCGAGTCCTGACCAGACATTCCAGCGATTGACATCATGAGCATCGATCCACGCCATTGGGATACGATGACATGCATCAACCAAGTCAGCGAGCCTGACCACCCGATAACAAATGGTATCTGTCGCCTGCATAAACACTGTTTCAATTGCTTTGTGATGTTTTCAGTGTTCAGCAAGAGGGAAGTCATAGAACTCAAAAGTACAAACTTGATTTTATATATAAATGTCAGACTTGGTCAGGTCCCTCCAAAATGACTACCCCCACCCCCAACCAATCATCTCCTGAAGCAGTTGTAGGTTGATGGGTATGTTTGTTTTGTTTGTTTGTTATAACCCTGCACTCAGCAATATTCCAGCTATATGGGTGGTCTAATCGCGTCTGGATCAGACAATCCAGTGATTGACATCATGATCATCAATCCATGCTCTTATGTAGCTGTCCACAGGACAAGGTGCCACCAAAACAGAATATGCTACTGGGCTTTCTAATGATTATATTATTTATATATATATGTGTGTAAAAGTAGATGTACTTGTCACTAGTTTTAGTTTTGAACGTTCATGTATTGTCCATTGGGCTTGTAAACGATGCTAATGAGGGTAATACCTTCTGGTACACCGCTTCATAAGTCAACAATGAATTGAAGTGGTTGGAGAAAAGACTGGTCCTCATACCAGAACTTTCATGATGAAAGTTCATGCTGGTTAAGTCATGGCTGTCATTTGTAGTGGTGAATATCGTGGGTTTGTGTTTCCTTCAGTGGTGAATAAAACGGAAAAGACAAAACACAGCATTTATAGTCTGTACAATTTATTCACACTCATGTTAGTGCACAATATCAAATCACAGTAGAGTCTGGAAGAATGTTCTTTTTAAGATGCCATTCAGAGAGTACCAGATATACCTAGTCAAAGGGAGAGAACTGAGTTTGGCCGAAGGCTGCTGATCCCACACCTAAACCCTGGTATACCTAGCGCTTGTATATATCAATATCTTTGGTAGCCAGTTTCTTAACAAGCATCATGAATAAACAAGGACAACATGGCCCATCTCATTACATCAGAAGTAACTTCACACACTCATTGCAGCTAACAAATCCAACAGACCAGCTATTCCAAAACAGGATGATTAAAATCTGCTTAAAATCTGTTTAAGAACCTAATTCATAATGAAGTGATTCACCTGTATTGTCATTTTCATTTTGCTGACATTCACAAAGGGTTAAGAATATTATTCAATAAGGACCTTATTTCGCTGCCTCCAATTTATACCTTGATCATTTCATCAGAATGTATTGAATGCACTCATTTGAAAATAGCAAAGATATCATAGATATGAATACAACAGAGCATCAACAAGGAAAGAAATCACTTTCGACATATACATGTTCCCTGTAAGTCGAAATAAACAAGAAAAGAAATAGGTAATATCAGTTACTGTGATCTGATCTGATACAGGCGACACACCACTCGGGTGTAGCAGGCCACTCTAACGTACAGCCAGAATCCTAGCATCACACACACAGCAGAATTCAGGAGACACTCACATTACACTACTGGTCAAAACAAATGTCAACACTATTGTAGCCATGGCAAGAGAGTCTTAGCACCCTGGGCGTTGTTGAGGGATGTTAACTTTGAACAGCAGCGTACTACTTGTCAAAACAAACATCACCCCGATCAGGGGCATGGTGCAAAGTTTTCCCACCCATATGATTAAGGGGAATTTTATTTTGAAAAGAAGTGTACTATTCCATACAACAAACATCTCCACGATCAGGGATGTGCTGCTACATTTTCACACCCATATTGTGATTAAGGCGACGTTTAGTTTGAACAGCAGTTCACTACCAGTCAAAACAAACATCCGGACTATCAAGACGACCCTGCACATTATCTTGGCATTTGTTGTGATTGGTAGTGTTCCAGTCCTTGACTCGGCATACAGTATATAGTCACAGTAAATGATTAGGAACATGGAATCTAAAATAAATTCAAAGCCGTGCCTCAATCTTATAAAACTTTTCAGTTAATTAAGAAAGATAAAACCAATAAATGTCTTCAACGTAGTGTTGCATACACATGATAAAATACAAGCATGCTTATCCAAAAGCACAAATGATATTGATCTTGGAAAAGAAACCATCGTTTCAGTATGTTTACTGGTTGAAATATTTCATCACATATCTTTAGATGAAATAATACCTGCAACAAAATCACACTTCACCATGAGTTTCAGCTATTTGATTTCAAATATTTCACCCAATAAACAAATATTTCCTGTACAGCTTAACAACTTTATAAAAGTCGATGGCAAAATATAAATGTTGTGGAAAACAATCATTTTGTAATAAAATATAGAAATAAAAATAATTGAACACCGTTTTGAATCTATTAAAATTTGACCATGCATAATGCACCCAAGATAACACCCTGCTAGCCTAGTGATAATGAAGTTCATTTCACCATTGTTCTGGGCTCATGCAATCAGTATCATAAACATTCATGTCCTAAAATGGACAACGACATATATAGCTAATTTCTAGCTAAAAGGAATGAAAAATAAATCTCTGAGAAGATACATTTCAAAAGGCTTAAAACCAACAACTGTCTGTGATCAAAATAAACATTACCACTCCATCAAAGTTAGATTTAGGTACACACTTTGAACATACCATAACGTATGAAAGTGACAACTTCAATGAACTCTCTTCATCAAAGCATCGCCCAAGCAGCCTCTTCTAATCATACTAATGAAATGCCCTAATTCACAACCATTTTGTTATCAGTACAAATATGGAACGCAGCATGATTGTTTGGAAATGTAATATTGAAATATTCTATGTGTACCATTCCTCTCCTTGGTACCAACATATACATGTAACCATGACAGTTTATAAAACATAATATAGATGATATCACAATGACCACTGAAAGACATTCTCTGTACCGATTCCCCGACCAATGAATGGCCCTCAGCATCTTACATCACCAGGTCACATCACACATTTGAAAATGACACTTCTAACAATTCAACACGAGTAATGAATGCATGCACTGTTCTACACTAGACAACAATAAGGTTTCTATGTTTGGTAATGTCAACCGATAGTCATAACAACAGCACCTAACATAGCCAGTGGTACTTCATGTATAGCACTGAGGTTGTTAAAAGCACAGTGTCCTTGTTTCAATACTGTAGAGGTCTCATTTTCAAATATGTGAAAGTAAGAACATACCATCCATCCCAGATACAATGTATCTGTGAAATATGTTCTTGGAGCATTCAAATTCCCAAAACCATAATATCCAACCAAACCAAGGCAAACAATACTAGCATGTATATACTGTAACATTACTTCAGTTGTAAATTTTAGGATATAGTCAAACTTAACTGCAAATGTATAATTCAGTTTAGTAAATATGTCTGAGGTACTTCATAAAATACTATACTCACTACTACACATGGTTGTGTATTAGATTTTGGGTAATTTGGGTGCGCTAACAACAGGATTATTTTGTTCTAAAAGCTTGCGACCCTCGGTTTTGTAGTCGAATGTGCAGTCATGGGACTCTGCATAGCGATGGGTAGCACAAAAGTTGTTGCCACACCTGCAAATAAAAGAAATTTCAAATTCAGGAATAATCATAAACAATAATACTATTTAACAAAATCATAACAGACAGTTATAAGTGTGGACAGCTTTAAATAAGGTAAATTGTTTGGTTTTCCTTAAAATCTACCTCTCCTTAATGGTTCATATATATTCTTGGTATTGCTGAGTTTAGGGTTCCTGATAGTGGTAATCTTGTTGACAGAAATGACAATAGCTGGGACATATATTACTCAAATATAATGGGACCACCAGGTTCTTTCATTTTACTATACGTAATCTGTCGTCATGACAGATTAACTAGATCTATAGTAAAATAGTACTATGAAAGAATTGAGCAGTCCTGAACCTGTGTTTCAGTAGTATTTCCCCTCAATTTATAGGACAAACGAAAATTGTAGAAAATGACAATGTTTAAAGTCCACATCTTTGTCGGCCTCAATTTATCGGTGCATCGACATGATCAATGTCTTGAGTTACCAAGGTTACCAATCAGCTGTGTTGTTCAAGCTGGCATGGCTAGTACACCACTTTAGCTATCAGCGGAATATTCAAGTCAACATACAGTGTTTTGCAGGAAGCACAGTATTCTATCCTATACTATGTACATGATGTCAGGGGTAGAAACTAACATTTTTAGTCCACTAGTCCTTATAATGATAACAAGTAGCAAAAGCCTTATAAAGGGCAAATTTCTACTACCTTATGTAGTCCTTATGATATGTTAACCATTGGGCAGTTTGACGAGGACTACAGCACTCGTAACGCTGGATGTATACACATTGAAATTCTGGCTGTTTGTTGGAATCAAATAAAACTAATTAAAATTTTTGATTACATGTCACAGAAAGATGACATTTCTATTCTGGTAAGAAATACAAGTGCATTGAGTGTGTAAATGATTCATTTTCTTCAATCAAACATTGAAATCCATACATAAAAATGGCAAAAGGCATCTGAGCTCGTGCAAAATTATTGGAAATCAAGTGCAGTGTGCCACATGCCTTGAACCACCCCAAGTTCTAACTGAGATTCCCCTTTACTAAGAAATAGTGAGTGAGCACATTTGAACAGTATTTCAGTTATATCACGACATATAGCAGGAAAACCGAAGTGATGAAGGTCTTGGACGTTCACAACTTTAGTGAAACCCATAGAGGTACGGCGCTGACAAACCAAGAAACATAATCAGGGCTAACCAGAGTTCAAACCCATGACCACAGGATTCTAGCACTCATCTCTGCACAGCAAACTGCAGCATCTTAGATGACTGGGCCGACTGCCTGAACTAAAAAATAGACCAAATCCTTGAACATTTGGTGTATCTTACCTGCACTGGTAGCTTGTAGCCAGTCCGGTCTTCTTGGCACACACATAACACCTTTTGGATGCTTTCTTCTTGGCCTTGACTGGAGGAAGTCTGTGTGTTGGGGACAGAAGGCGACCATCTCGGCTCGCAGAGAGGCGCTGGAGATGGCCCGACTAGAGGGAGGAGACCAGGAGTGAGTGAGTAAGTGAGTGAGTGAGTGAGTGTGCTTTAATAAAGGCGAATCGGGGGTTTGATCATGTCCAGATGTACATCAAATCAACAGTGCTGAGTGCTAGAGAACTGAGCAAGAATGTCTTTCTATGCATTTAATAACATGATAATATGCCAGTTCAAATTTCTCTAGGCCTATGCACCATGATATTTCAGACTTTTAATCAAGATCTATGTCTAAATATTTTTCAAAGCGTGGTCTAGAATGGAAGTTTCCAGTTGAAACTGCTGTCATAATAGCCTGAGAAAGCTTCTTTCTGATTGGCTAATAGTGACTTCTTGTTATGTAGTTCATTGATCAGTCAAAGTTCAATCTGTCTGAATATAACATCTTCCCGAGGCAAGAGAGTTAACTGACTATAAAAGTCCAGTTTCCACCCTTGCCGAACTAGGCTGGTATTATGGAGTTACATTTTGGCTGGACTAACGAGTCTCTGCATAGTCCAATCAAAAACAGGCAAATCGAAATGTGGTTCTTAAACTGTCATGCAGAGTTTGGTCGATTGCAGGATTTGCACAGCATCTGCAACACCATCTGTTGTCAACAGATATTTTTTCAAGTTTTTAATCAAGGTGCTCATGTGATTTAATGCACTTTGCGATGTAAGACCCGTTTTATCACAATGTAGATCTTGATTGTCGATCAGATAGTCTTGACCATTTTGTTTAAAGCAAATGCAAGTGATACGAGAGCTGGAATCTGATTGGTCCATAGGAGAGGCATAGAAGGGACATAACTTGTAAAAGCCACTGGTGGCGCAACGATCGAGCCCAGGAATTCCAGCCTAGTTCGGCAAGGGTGGAAACTGGACTTTTAAAGTCAGTTAACTCTCTTGCCTCGGGAAGATGGAAAATATGAAATTCCTACATTCAGTGTTCAAGGTTATTTTTACAAAAATAATAACATCATTACTCACCATTAACCTTCCCTCAGGCGTTGGTACCCTTCCTTCCTGAAAGCCCGAATAGTTACTCAGACGAGACTTGCTAGCACTAGACACAAAGTTGCCGATATGAGAAGATCCTATTTTTTCTATGGAGGCTTGTCTGAGTATGCCAGACACTGTCCTGGCTTCACTTGTTGACAAACTTTCCAGCGCATACTCCTTCCTTCTCATATCCAGGCCACCATAGCGACTTGAGGTGGTGGGTCGCAGTACGGAATCTCGCAGGCCTAAACTTATGTCTCTCTTGCTTGAAGAAGAACGTTTGAAATTATCAGAGGAATGATCGGCTGCCACTTTGACCTTGTCCTTAGAGGACGTAGCAGGTCGAAATGACTCCTTGAAACTTTCAAAAGTGAAGTCCTTTCGCCGTGAGGCAGAAGAAGTGGAGGGAAGGTAACGCGTGGAGTCTGTCATGCTACTCAACCGGTATAGGTCCCGCTTCAAAACAGAGTTCACGAGAGAGTTAGCAGTGGTATCACTATCGTCCACTTTCACCGTTTCATCCGTATTCACATCCACTGACGTTTTCTCCCCTACTTCTGATAGAGCTGTCGGGGGTGACACTCGAGCACTGTCCTCTTTCAAGATGTGAAGAGGCTGACCAAGTTTGTCCATGGAATCTGTCGTAGTCGACAATGTTTCCACAGCCTTGTCTGCCACTGCTACAACTGATGACACAGACGGCGAGGCGAGGAGAGCACCAGCCCCCCCATCTACATCTACAATGGCAGTGTCTGCATCATAGACACCCTGGGTGGCAGGGAATGTGCAGCCGACAGAGGGCAGGACTGTGTTCTTGTTGAGGGTGTTACTGTAGGGTCGACCGGCGCTCGGCAACTGGCGCAGTCGGAGACGACTGCTGGCTCTACCTGAATGGCTGGAGTGACCTGAAGAAGGGGGCTTTGGTGGTTTCTGAAACACAAATGTAGGCATATGTTCATTGTTAATAAAGCTTACAAATATCATGGTCATGTAGCGAACATATTCACATTTTGTGTATATTACCTTAGTCAAGTCATCTCTCACAATAACCAATCAGAGGAGGCAGAGCATCTAAAAGTCTCATCCAACTCCCTCATTATTATTGGATAAAATTTAGGCCAATTAGAGGACAGTTATGATGAAGAAGCAGTCTTTACAGACCAAATACTAAGTAATACCGGCAGTAAGACCTGACCTTTTTGGTGAGCGTCAGCTTCTCCATGTTGAGGCGAAGCTGTGTCACCTTCTGCTTCATCTTGTCATTCTCCTCGGACTTCTCCTTTGGCGACGAGTCATCTTCCTCCTCCTCCTCATTGAAGTTGTACACCGAGGCACTGCAACACAATACACAGTACATAGGCACTCATGGTGAGACAGTCATAACTCCTGTTCACAGAGTTTCAGATGGCCTTCAGTCACCGGTCATAGACCAATAAAATTTCAATTTGACCGATAGTTTGTTTAAATAGTCCGACTTTTGAACGATAGAAATGCTAAGCAAGGCTTCACTCATATTATAATTTAATAATTAAAAAGTAAGTAGTAAGGATTAGTCCTGCTTACAGTAGAACAGTAAAACATCTTACAACAAAACAATGCACAGCCATCAAAATTTGTAATTAAAATTCTGGGCAGCACATGGCTTTGCATTGCACTTTCTGTATCAAAGGGAAACGCTTTCAGGAGCCATCGTGACTTAGTCAAGCGCTTTTAAAACCTAATGTTTTATTGGCCAGATTGTATATACCCGGTATTCATCCAATCACGAATGGTATTGCATTGATTTGTTGTTATGGTTTGTCTGCCATTTTGGTTGATTTGACTTGCTGACTTTTGCCCTTGACTTTTCGTGGGTCCAAGTCAATGGCCTACATGCAGCTTTTTGTGTCAAAATCACTGGTTCAACATAATGACCTGAGTACTAAGGGCATTGTTCCTTTTATTTTAAGACAGTTTTCATGAACGTAGTACACAGATCAATTGAGAAACTGTCTGCACATGCACATACCCTGGTACTGAAATTGTTAAATGTGAACCAACTTCTAAATGACTATCAAAGACCTGATCTCAGTAATCCTGTCTCAGGTTGAAGATATTAATTTCACTCACATCTGACAATAATAAATACCAGAAATCTTTGAAGCCATAGCAACCAGAAATCTATGACACATAAAAACACCTACCTGAGAGACTCTGAAAGTGGTGTGAGTGTCCCATCACCTCGGTCTACAACACGGAAGAAGTTCAACTGATCTCCCTCCCGAAAAACTAGGAGGGTCACATGGCGGTTGCCAGGCAACTTGTCCAGGATCTCCTCACGATTGGCTTCCATATACTCTGCCATTTCCCTGAGAGCAGTATCCTCAACCGGGACTGTAACAAATACCACATCCTCATCACTTAGCAGCGACGGAACCGCAGGCATAGCTTGAGAAATATTGAATTTTAACAGGGATTGACTTAGGCCTCGATTTTGTGATATTCTCACATAGTTGTCATGGATATCTCATCGACTTCAGCACAGTGCAAACGTTGTTCATCCCTCATCAGAAAAATGAGTGTTCATGTATACAACACAAACACCTTGACAACGCATGGAAATCTTATTTCATTTAAAACAGTGATCTACAACATGGCAAACATGCCGCCATTTGCAAAAAATGAATGACATAATTGTTGCTAATAAAACAATAGACTGAACCTGGAATAATGTTTGTTGTATAATTAACATATGACGGACTGTCACTAGTACTTGATTGGAAATTCAACAATATTTCCTTCGATACAGAACACACTACAGACGAAAAGCACTGTGTTTCATAAAATATCAGCTAACTGTTACACCATTAACAACAGTCGTTGTTTCATGTCTACTTCAATTATGATCTAAACACACATTGTCAGTGATGTCAGATGACCCGTAAAGATCCGGGTTAGAATAGGTCTTCTGCAACCCAAGCTTGCCATAAGAGGTGACTATGCTTGTCGAAAGAGACTATTAACAGGATCGGGTGGTCAGGCTTGCTGACTTTGTTTGTGCATGTCATTGTATCCAAATTTTGTAGATATCAAGAAAAAGGCATTATCACTATCCCACACCATAAGGCAGATTAGAATTTCATTTGTTCATATAGTAGTAAACATAAACTATAAAAAAAGAGTCCCATAAAACATTAAAAAGAGAAAGGCACTTGGGTCGCTTTATCATTTATGTCATCAGAAAAAATGATTAAATGTGAAATTAATACACACAAAAGGCCTCTTCTCTGGAAAAAACCCCTCAGTCTTGATAAGTGTCTCTTAGATAAGATAACTGTAGTTTCTGAACACACACTATGCACCAAGTAAAATAACATGGTCAGTGTGTCCCCATTGCACACACTATCCACTAATATGAAAAGCACGGAGCAATAGCCATAACTGTTCACTAAGTCTCTTGTCTCTTAGATAAGCAGGCAAACTTTCATTCATGTAACTTAAGTAGTTTCTGAGAAAACTTGTCCCCATTTCATGCAGTATGCACTAAGTTGAAAAGCAAGGGGAAGGGGCAATAACTCTGCAACGAAATAATTGACAACACCAATTTTCGAGCTCATTTGAGTCCACGACCAGTAACATTGGTGTGTAAAATTTCATTTCTCTGACTTCAATAGTTTTTGAGAAAGTTTGTCCCCTTTGAGAACCGCATGGACAGACAGACGAACTCCGTTCCTATATGCCCTCCCAGCCCCATTTCTGAAGTATCGCTGATGAGAAGAGATCTTAACAATTATCGATATGAAAATTGTGTCATCAATATCTTACATAAACTTTTGTGATGAAATTAAGTTTTAATTTACCAAAGCAGACTTATTTTGTCCACTGCCAAAGATGGAAAGCAACTGATTTGGTCATATCTACATGTTCTAAAATTTCCACAAAGTAATCCATGCATAAATGTATCAAAACTCACAAGTGATAAGAAACATGCTGTTATCTCTCTCAGCTTTTTGCATATTTGCTCAAAGTTACTTCTCCGATATTTATCGATAACTGAACGACATTTAGTCAAGGATTATTGATCTCTATGATATATATCGATTGCCAACCCTACTCTTGTCATATACCTAAGTAATCAATCTGTACAAAATCATTAATTGCAGAAGTCATGATCTGAAAGCCCTTGGAAATGTCCAATGGAATTAAGTACAGATATTGTAGGTCACAACTTTTGATATGGATGAGTGTCCAAGAGGGGATTAAATGTGATGATTCCTTTGATGAGTTGAAGATGTTTTGTTTAGGATTTTATTAAACAAATATAGCCATGAAATTTCTATAAGTAGCTGCCCTCAGAAGTATGAGTATTCCTCTGCAAAGTTAAGTAGCATACTTGCCAGTGGTGGGACGATACACTGATGCATCGGTGAATCATGATTTTTTACTTCTTGATGCAAGTATATAGTTTCACACTTAGTAAAAAATATCAATTCTAATCTTCAGCGTTTGCTTCAATAACTTACACTAAACACAAATTAGTTGTGAAAATAAGTAGTGAAAAGTGAAAACAAGTATTTTCATCCACTGTGCCATACTCGACACTGCCATTTATAAATCATCAGTGTGCCAGGTATTTGGCCATCCTGTTACGAACATAATCACTTAGGGACCACAGATAAGCGCACATGCAAGTATCGTCCAGGCCCTAATATTTGCTGGCTTGGCCTGCCTACCTCGGCGAGTGTTGATAGGACCTCCCCGCATGGCCAGGACCAGTTTGAGGGTGGCACCATTGTGGATGCTGTAGTCATGCAGACAATACTCGTCCTCCAGCTCCACCGACTGCCAGATGAGATGCTGATGGGAGATCGGGATGCCTGGAACGAGAGGAACACCATTTGCATCACAAAATACACCTCATGGTCAGGATGGAAACACTCTACCCTTGTCACTTAATGTTAACAGGGTTAGAATTTACCTTTAGTAAAATCTAAATATTTTTCACATTTGTATACTTATCCTGCATTACTCCTTAATGTATCTACTGTTAACCTTATGACAGAAACAGCCCTGTGCAATGGTCCAAAACTGAAGAAAAAGTTGTTTCCAATCAAGTCTATCTGCCTGAGGACCAACTCGCACAGCTGTCACGTGATCGCCGGAGGTCTCACCACATTTCTGCTTTTCATCGTACAGACATGTTGTGTCTTACTTTGGTCCACACTATTTGGCTTTAATTTGAGTTACTATCATAAGGTAAGCAGTGGAGGCATTAAGGAGTAATGCAGGAGAAGTAAATAATAGTATGTTTACTAGTCCTCAAAAAGGATGGGCCACAGAGCTGCTTTCATGTCATAATGATAAAAGTGATAGACTGCAGCTGTTGTCACTGGTCCTAAGTGAATTCAACACATCTTGCACTGGTGGCCTTGTTACTTTTGAACCTTGGTTTATAAGTTAACAAGAGTTTGCCACTAACGTGGCTATATCCCCTGCCCCTGTTGCAGAATTTATGACATAATTAAATCTAAACAAACACTAACCTTTTTTAACCGAGGTGGAACTTGTCATGGAAATTGTAAAAAAAAGATGAGTTTGGAACCTAAGTCAATCTTGTTGCCATGGAAACGTAAAAAATAAATATTTCTTAAATTTCTAAATATCAAAAGGCACCAGTTCAGCATGTACCTGACAGACCTGCAAAGTTTGAAGAAAAAATATTGAACGGTTTATGAGTTATGCTCCGGAAACGAACCCTACCCTCACAGAACCTAAGTCAATCTTGTTGCCATGGAAACGTAAAAAATGAATATTTCTAAAATTTCTAAATATCAAAAGGCACCAGTTCAGCATGTACCTGACAGACCTGCAAAGTTTGATGAAAGAATATTGAACGGTTTATGAGTTATGCTCCGGAAACGAACCCTACCCTCACAGAACCTAAGTCCATCTTGTTGCCATGGAAACGTAAAAAATAAAAATTTCTAAAATTTCTCAATAGTAAAAGGCACCAGTTCAGCATGTACCTGACAGACCTGCAAAGTTTGATGAAAGAATATTGAGTGATTTATGAGTTATGCTCCGGAAACGAACCCTACCCTCACAGAACCTAAGTCAATCTTGTTGCCATGGAAACGTAAAAAATAAAAATTTCTAAAATTTCTCAATAGCAAAAGGCACCAGTTCAGGATGTACCTGACAGACCTGCAAAGTTTGATGAAAGAATATTGAACGGTTTATGAGTTATGCTCCGGAAACGAAACGTGACGGACGGACGGACGGACGGACGGACAGACGGACGTACATACGTACGGACGGAGCCCGTTTCTATATCCCCTCCAAATTCGTTGGGCGGGGGATAATAATCGTGAACCCACACTTCAATAGGATCAATTCAACTCTGGTCCTACAGAATATCAGTCTTAACAAGCTAAATGTGAAAGGTTTTCACAATTGTTAGGTCACAAAATTCTGCAACTTTGTCCTTTCATTCAGTTTAAGGTCGACAAAATAAGGAGACTAACATTTCACATTTTTACTTGCCAGTCATGACACTCTGACTTTAAAACCACTGCTAATGTTTACTGACATTTGTCTGGTGGACCAGAGTTTTGTTGTAAAGTGGCAACCAATACATTGACAGCAATTGCTACTAAGGGCCAATATCACTATTTGACAATAGGTGAGAGTTGATGGTTAATGTTTCAAAATATTTCAGGTTTAGAGCCAAGTCAGCAAAACTGTAGCATCAGTACTATCTTGACACCAGTTTCAACAAATTATTCAACAATCATCCATGTATAAAAAAATTATAGTTTGTTGTATATATTTTTAACAAACTGTTGCTCATATGTCAATAAAATGACAACAAATGTGATTCACATGACCACGATGAAGTATAATTTGTTTGTAGGGCTATGTACACATTCATCAAGAAAAGACACAAGGCAAAACATGTGGTTTGATCCCCTGCTCATGATTTCCACCAAAGTGGCAAACGTCTGTGACCTGCATCACTTCAGGCTTTCCTTACATAATGGTGACCCATTGTGATATAACTGGAATAGAGTTAAAGGCGTTAAACCTAACTAACCCACTCACTCATCTTTAGGTTCTTGGGGACAATAAACTGAGGCATGATGTTTGGTAGTGAGGCGGCCCGGTGGAAATCTAACAATTAATTATGTATGGTCTCAGTTGGGTATTTCAAGAATGACTTGAACACTAGACAATATGCCCTATCACTAGACAATATGCCCTATCCTCATGACTCAGGTTACTGTTCCGCAATAATACTTAGTGACATGTGTGACTATCCATCAGGTTCATGCACCATCAAAGGACTACTGGTTTTACAAATGGTGAAGATGTAATTTATTGTCTGATTGACAATAAACCAAATAGCATGTCAGACCACCCAGGTCAGAAACAACTTCCTAATGCCCCTGGCTGCCCCGGGAGATCAATAGCTCCTCCTACACTGGAGTACTTGTGACCCACCACAACAACATTCCTCCCACAGATTGGAGCTCCACAGTCACGAACCCGCAATGTCATGAAATCTATATTAATGACAGAAACAATGTGAATTGTCTCAGTCTTCTAATTATGGGATATTCTACATAAGCCACCACAAACAGGAGTGGGCCTGGCAGTCACTTTACTATGTACCAGTAATACTTTATCATACACAAACCACCCCATGCAGGATTGACAGTCCCATTACTATGCATACTTGATTATTCAACAGTAGAACGTCCTAGGCAGAAACAAAACTATCGATACCAGAGTTGGCCTAGATGAGTATTGATCAGTGAAGCTAGGCACCCCCTACTGCGTGGGTACAGAGACGACAATGAGGATCTGTCTCAAGCACTGACCACGACAGACCTGCTACACTAGCAGTTGTCTCCCCTTCCACAGATATGACCTCTGTATGTTTCATTTCCTCATATTCACCAGCTGCACCTTTACACTAGATTACATGACATTACATTAGAGAAATTCAACAGATTTCCTTCATCATCAACTAGATTTGGATACAAAACATTGTTATTTGTTTTCGTCCCACTCAGCTATATACCAGCTATATTATGACAGACTGTAAATGATCAAGTCTGAGTCAGACACCCAGTGATTGATCTAACAAGCAAGTTAAATGTATTCGGGGTACAATGACACAAAGTCATTAAGTCTGAGTCAGACACCCCAGTGATCGATCTAAAGAGCCAAGTTAAATGTATTTGGGGTACAATGACACAAAGTCATTAAGTCTGAGTCAGACAACCCAGTGATTGATCTAAAGAGCAAGTTAAATGTATTCGGGGTACAATGACACAAAGTCATTAAGCCTGAGTCAGACAACCCAGTGATTGATCTAAAGAGCAAGTTAAATGTATTCGGGGTACAATGACACAAAGTCATTAAGTCTGAGTCAGACAACCCAGTGATTGATCTAACAAGCAAGTTAAATGTATTTGGGGTACAATGACACAAAGTCATTAAGCCTGAGTCAGACAACCCAGTGATTGATCTAAAGAGCAAGTTAAATGTATTCGGGGTACAATGACACAAAGTCATTAAGTCTGAGTCAGACACCCAGTGATTGATCTAAAGAGCAAGTTAAATGTATTTGGGGTACAATGACACAAAGTCATTAAGTCTGAGTCAGACACCCAGTGATTGATCTAAAGAGCAAGTTAAATGTATTCGGGGTACAATGACACAAAGTCATTAAGACTGAGTCAGACAACCCAGTGATTGATCTAAAGAGCAAGTTAAATGTATTCAGGGTACAATGACACAAAGTCATTAAGACTGAGTCAGACAACCCAGTGATTGATCTAAAGAGCAAGTTAAATGTATTCGGGGTACAATGACACAAAGTCATTAAGTCTTCCCACCTGATCCATTAAGTTGCCCTTATGACAGGAACAAGTTGCTGTGGACCTATTCTAATCCTAAAGGAGTTAAATAATATTACATAAAAAAATTATACAGGATAGGAAATAGACTGAAGTTGGCTTTTACTCTTCAAAAAGAATTTGAAGTGACTAATCCTCAGTCAATAGTCATCTTCCAGTCCCCCCGCCGAACTAGGCTGGAATTTTGTGGCTCAATCGTAGCGCTACCTGTGGTTAAGACGAGGTACATCCCTTCTATGTCCCTCCTATTGACCAGTCAGACTCCACCTCTCATATCACTTGCATTTGTTTCAAACACAACAGCAGTCAAGACAATCTGTTTGATAGTCAAAAGCTATATTGTGATACAATGCGTCTTACTTTGCGAAGTGCATCAAATCATGTGAGCACCTTGATTTAAAACATGAAAAGATTTGGAAAATATCTGTTGACGCTGAGTTGGGGGTACACATGCTTTGACAATCCTGTTATCAACCGAAACCTGCATGGCAGTTTACAAACTGGCTGGCAATGTCGTTACGCCATGTTGATTGGACTATGCATAGACTTGTTTGTCCAGCCAAAATGTAACTCCATAATTCCAGCCTAGTTCGGCAAGGGTTGAAACTGGACTTTTATAGTCCTTGCCTTGAGAAGATGTCATTAGTCGTGAGGTGTTTTCAAAGCTGACGACAACCAAAATGATTAATCAGCAAAAACAGTTTCACATTACTGTTATTTAGTGTCAGCCGTTCCACCTTGTTTAAACTGGGGAAAGTGTTAATGACTGCATCACCCAAGCATCGACATCACCATGGTTACAGTCACACAAATTCAGATTAATTGCTTTGCTGAGACATCCACAATTGATCATTTGATAAAAGCAAAGCAAACTAATACTAAAATGAAAATATTGACTTCCACACTTTTCTCAGGCCACGAAATAAACACATACATACGATATGACTCCTATT